TAAATAGGGAATGTGATTCCCAGTTGAAGGGAGAGAAAAATTTTTGAAATTCGCCCCTTATTCCGCAATCTTTGGGCGTCCATGGGATGGATCTCTCATCCCTTCACCTATTAATTTGTGTTTTTCCAAAATTTGAGCTTGAACTTCTCCCGTTTTGGGCTCCTACAACAACTTTGAGAGAGGGGTTCCTAATACCTTCCATTTCCCAATCCTTTGAATCCAAGATCTCTCAGTTATGTGCTTTCCTTGGTTAAGGACAAAGTCACTATTGAGGACTTAATTCAAGTTTTTCAAATATAAAAAAGAAGGCACATTTCCTCTAAAAAATGGGTGGTGACTCCAACTCCGAGTCGGCCATGAGCTTCCCGGAGCTCACACCTAGCCGAGTTGAGGTGGCTCTTTCACCAGCACACTTGGGAACCTGACTTCTTACTCATCCGGTATACGGTATAGGGCCTTGATTTGGGCCAAGTCCCTGGGCATCAGACAACATGGGGTGGTCCCGAACCGATTGTTAGCTTGCAAAGGGAGGTTGGCCCCCCTCCTCGGTCAACAATTCGACCTCGGCCTCCCAATCTGTGGCCCCCTCAAGGTCAAAGGCCTCACCCTCAAACTCTTTGGCCTCGACCCCCTGGCCGTCGGCCTCATGGATAGCAAGTGTGGTAGCCTCAACAAGAGACCCCGACTTAGACCCACTACTAAAGGAAGAGGAAGAAAAGGAGGAAGATGAGCAAGAGGAGTCAGTGGGCGAGGAAGAAGAAATCTTACCGGATTCACAAGACTTTAAATTGTAGAACTGAAGGCAAAGTGAAAATGCTCTTCAACCCCTTTTATAGAGTTCCCAGCGATCCAGATCAAGGCAAATCAACTGTAGGGATCAAGTGCTGCCCTTTGACAAGCTCAGGAAGATGAAATGATGCCATCGCCCTTTGCACGCGCATAACCTCAAGGAAACGAAACGACACTCTCGGCGACCGGTCTTGAAAACAGTACGAGCGTCAAGCTGGCTGGTTCACCAAAACCGGTTCAGCCTTGAGTCGTTTAGCCCAGAAGTGTGCCCAACCAAACTTCAAGTTCAGAGTTTCTTAGCCGAGAACTGAAGAGCTCTTCCATGCCACACTACGACCGAGCATTGCACTCCTCGACTTTGGAATTGGGGGAGTGGTGTTCATGTTATGGTTGAGCTAGCCCCAGGTGCCACGTGTCACCTCCGCGGCCACCTTATCTCCTCAGCCACGTTGGCACCACGTAAGCTGGATAAGTGCAACCAAGAAAGGAGAATCTCGTACGAATAATGAGGAGAGCTCCGCCAGGGATTAGGACTCATCCCGAAGACCTTGACGGACAACCTCATCCTGACAACCCTGGAAGCCTCATTGGAATAGGACACTGATCCATGACTATAAAACGGTAACTCTCGCTCAAGGTAAGGGATCTGGCTTTTGATTCTTTGGCTTCCATTCTGTTACTTTGCCCCTGCTCGGACCAGCACGCTTCTCTCAACTGCTTGACCCGACTATCCACCGTTCTCGACTATCTTGAACATCGAAGTACCTACCTGGAAACAACATGACTACGACCTCAGTTTGGGACACCTCGAATCGCCCCTGCGCGAAGTTAGAAGATAGCGAAGGTAGGATAAAAATCACAACAGCGGCCGGTATTAAGAGATTCATCCAGCGCACCTTAGTTGGTTTGGTGCCTTTATTTATTTATGTTGACATACATATCTCCCTATCTCGTCCACACAAATAGAACAATAAAGAAGCAAGGACAATTTGGGCAACCAGAAAAAGAAATAAGTTAGTTGCCTTTCTTAATTGAGCCCCCTCCGGGAAGTGAGGTCTCAGGTGTGGACGTGGGAGCTAGCTCATTAAACTCTTAAAAGTCACCTCTCCACTATTCCAACCTCCAAAAACCTCCTCAGTCCCTCTCTTTTTCTTTTTTTCCACGCCACCAGTCCCTCTCTCTTATCTCCCACAGTCAACTTTTCTTCATAACACGCATCACCTTAATTAATCCACGGCTTAACCTCGGTTAAAATTAACTTAACCACAGATAAATGTTTCCCAATGGGATATTACGTTTATTTCCCAATGGGATTAACTTAACCACAGCTACATACAGACATTGGACACATAAATCCCTCTGGGATAGGGAGAGAGGAGTAATAAGAGGAGCATCTTCTCTCCTTTTTTATTTCCTGTCGTCTTTTTTCCTTCTTCGCTTTCTCTGTTGCAGAGATTCCAGATGAGTCCTTCATGGCAGATGCCAAGACCTAGTAGTAATCCTCGAAGAATTTTGGTGAGTTTCTTTGTCGATGCTTGTTGTTCGAGTGTAACAGTTTTTTCTTTGTTTTTCCGCTTTGCTTATCTGATCTGTGTCTCTTACTTGAGTTTTGTTCTTAATTATCGATTGTTCTCAACCTCTCATGATAGTAGCTTTGAGGAATGGTTGTTTGTTTCTCTCTAATGGTGATGATAGGTTTTCATGACGGGAAATGGGAAGCTTAGTATATGGCAAGGTTTAAATTGTTTTTTTCTTGGTTCAGAGTTTTAAAGGCCCTTTGTTTTGTTGTTTTGGACAAACTTTTTGAATTTCCGTACTAGTTAATCCGTTAAAGGCTTTACGCTTTGCTAGGTTATCCATTTCTGCGCTAAATTCTCGTGTTCCAGGAAATTGGCTACTAAATCCGCGTTAAGATCCGGAGGGTGTCGGTGAAGTCGCATGCCTGTTAGTTTCTTTAGAAGTCTTTTCTGTTTTCTGTTTAGTCGGGCATTTTTTTTACTGGAGATCTGGCTTGTAACGTGGCAAAACATATTCTCCGGTATCGCGGATTTAAGCGCTTCCAGTTTTGAGATTTTCTCGTCTAAAAGGCTAACGAGAGATTACTGTGGGGATTTATTTTCAGACTTTTGTATTTTGCCTATTTTTGCCTCGCCCGAATCCGCTGATCTGAGACCCAAGTCACCAGAATCAGTGAGACTATATTTATACTCTGCCTATGTCTTCCTGCGGAATTGATATTATCTACACGGCTTTACTGTAAAATTCCCTTGTTAGGAAATTTGTTCAAGAATTCGTTTTCCCCTATCAGTGGAGATCTGATGTCTAGGGAATTATCTGTTGTATCAGACTTGCTTGATCTCTATCTGTGGTTGTTATTATCTGTGCTACTGTGGTTTTCTCTTTGTTTTGACTGCAGAAATATCTTCCCCCTTCCCTTTCATCCAGTTTTGTGTTGTTTCGTCTATTTGATACTTTTGGGTTTTAGTTTCATTGTTATTTTTTCTGAATTCACTTTTCTCTGAAACTGTCCTCATGTGAATAGTTTTCTTGTATTATTGTGATAATTAAGAAGAAATTCAACCTTTTCTAATTCGATAGCATCGTTGGTCTTTAATTAATTATTTTTTTGATGACAGCTTTCTTAATTGGAAAAGATAAGCATACTACAGGTTAGTTCTTTTATTGATAAGATGTTCCCTTTTTATCTGAGATTACTTGGTCTGAGTTGCTCTTGTTTATACTTCTATTTTCAGGGTGAAGATCAATGTTTGATTGTTTGAATTAGTTCTTCTGAATATAAAGCTGTAGAATATTAGTAATTTCTGGAGTGAGTTTGGTAGTCAAAGAAAAACTAAGAGCGAGGGGAGTGAAGTTGGTGAAGAACTTGAATTGGGTTTAAGAGGGTTTGTTTGAGGCAGAGATTTCTTAGTTGGTTAGAGTTTGATTGTTAGGTCATAGATCAGGAATGATGGGGATGCTTGAAGAAATGGGTTTTTGTGGGAATCTTGATTTCTTTGCCCCTCCAGAAACTATAGGGGAAGGAGATCTGGCACCAGAAGCTGAACCGGAGGCCACTGTGGAGGAAGATTATACTGACGAAGAGATGGATGTGGATGAGCTGGAGAGGAGGATGTGGAGGGACCGAATGCTCCTCAGGCGGCTTAAAGAACAGAACAAGGGCAAGGAGGGTGTTGATACTGCAAAGCAGCGTCAGTCCCAAGAGCAGGCTCGAAGGAAGAAGATGTCACGTGCACAAGATGGGATCCTGAAGTACATGCTGAAGATGATGGAAGTTTGCAAAGCTCAAGGGTTTGTGTATGGCATCATCCCAGAGAAGGGGAAACCTGTGAGTGGAGCGTCTGACAACCTTCGTGCTTGGTGGAAGGAGAAAGTCAGGTTTGATCGCAATGGTCCTGCAGCAGTCGCAAAGTATCAGGCAGATAATGGTATACCTGGCAAGAGTGAAGACTGTAATGCAGTGGCTTGCACTCCTCACACCTTGCAGGAGCTTCAAGACACTACTCTTGGTTCACTCTTATCAGCTCTCATGCAGCATTGTGACCCACCCCAGAGGCGATTCCCCTTGGAGAAGGGTATTGCTCCACCATGGTGGCCCACTGGCAATGAGGAGTGGTGGCCTCAATTGGGTTTGCCAAAGGATCAAGGTCCTCCGCCTTATAAGAAACCTCATGATCTCAAGAAGGCATGGAAGGTTAGTGTCCTGACTGCTGTGATCAAGCACATGTCACCTGACATTGCCAAGATCCGTAAGCTTGTGAGACAATCCAAGTGCTTGCAGGACAAAATGACTGCAAAGGAGAGTGCAACCTGGTTGGCCATCATTAACCAGGAAGAAGCCTTATCCAGGAAGCTTCACCCCGAAAGTTGCCCTCCTGTTTCCTCAGCAGGTGGATCTTTGGCCATCAGTGACTGCAGTGAATATGATGTTGAAGGAGTTGAGGATGATCCAAATATTGAAGTACAGGAGTGCAAGCCTCATGATGTCGATCTATTCAATTTGGGGATGGGAACAACAAAAGACAGGCTTATGGTCCCACTGCCTGCTCCAATAAAGGGTGAAATAACCAACTCAGATTTCACCAGGAAAAGGAAACCAACTGATGAACAAGAAGTAATGGTGGATCGTAAAATATACACCTGTGAGAACCTTCAGTGTCCTTACAATGATTATCGGCTTGGGTTTCTTGACAGGACTTCAAGGAACAATCACCAGGCAAATTGTCCCTATAGAAATGTCTCTACAGGATTTGGAATCTCTAACTTTCAGATCACTGAGGATAAACCAACAGTCTTTTCTCTACCATTTGCTCAACCTAAGCCAGCTGCTCCACCATTGAACCAAACTCAGCCGTCTTTCAACCTATCAGGACTTGGATTGACAGAAGATGGCCAGAAAACTATTGGTGAGCTTATGTCATTCTATGATAGTAATCTTCAGCGAAACAAGGGCCCAAATCCTGGAGGTGTTGTTCTTGGTGGTCAAAATTCTGCACTGCAGCCAAAAATTCAACTGGAGGAGAACATCTATGGCGAAGGGGCTTCAATTGGGGGTAACATGTTTGAAGAAAACAACATGCCTATGAATCACCAAATGTTCCACCGAGAAGAAATCCAATTTGATCAATGTAAGGTGTTTGATGCACCACCCTATGAGACAAATAATGGTGATCTTACCTCTGATTTTAGATTTGGGTCTTTCAACATCCCATCGGTAGACTTTGGTGAGGACTTGCCCAGAGGAACAGTGGAGACACCACTATCGAAGCAGGAGAATTCAATCTGGTACCTGTGAAAAGTACTCAAGCAAATCTCGAGGCCACCTTATGGTCCTTTTTTTAGAGGAGCACGGTCTCTGAATTGTAAATTCATAAAGGAGGGTTTTCTTCACACTGGTCTGTGTTGATCAGGTGAAAACTTCTTCCTTCCATTGGTTGATGGCATCTTGGCTATGTTCTGTAGGAACTTGTTTCTCTTTAGAAATCAAAATTATAGTTGTAGGATTTCTAGGGTTATTGGTTGCCAGTTCAAAACATGGTAGAAGAAAGTTGCAATAACCTGATTGCTCTGTCTCCTGAAAATGTTCAGACTTACTGTTATTGCTAAACTTTGTAATATATATATATGGATTTCCATCTGGTTCTGCTCCTTTGTGTTGTTCATTGCCTGAACTGCATCTATTTCATAATATATTTTCAGGTTTCAATTTAATCTTTTCTGCTCATTTATGATTGGCGTGTCTGGTCATGTTGAAGAAAGTCACTGTTATAGAATTGGTAGAACTGTAAACACCAAGCCTTGGAGGCCTGAATTGATCACTGAAATTTGTATCTAACAAATGGGATTTGGTGACTGAATTTGAATCATGTGCGATGTCACATGGTCGCCATTGGTGAGACCCAATCCTTGCAAAGTCCAAGGCATACTGAGCTAGACTAGCTTAAAAGGCGGTGAATTATTGTTTAATTGAGTGATATCACAATGGCGCAACCATCTGACCCACCATTTGGTGATAACATTTGATGGATTATTTATCACGAGTTGGCAATGAATTGGACTGAACTTTAAATTTCCCTAAAATTAATTATATATTTTTTTTTGAGTTACACAGACCCTAACCTTATTCGAACATCTGTTTATTCTTTATATGAAAGAGACGATGTTATATCAACGCCTTAGGTCTTTTATTGAGACAATCTGAATGGTGACGATGACTACAACCACCCTAACTTGGGTATTAAACAATGAGTCCGCGTTTTGTTCACCCATGGGATTCACGAATCACGTTCGGAGGTGGGAGAATGCATAACATTCACGGTAAAAGGTACTTTAACACGAGTTCGGTGGTTCAATCGGATACAAACCAGCCACAAAATAACAAAAGTTAAATCAAAAGAGCCCCAATTGAGATTATCTTCAAAGCTCAAAACGGTAGAACACAGAAACGACATCTGAAATGTGTTAGGTTTCTTTCATAGTTCCGTGTTACAGCAACCCCATATCGGATCATGAAATCTTATTTTGATTACAGAGATAAAGCTTTTGGAATTCAAGCCATCGAGAATCGATGCATTGATACTTCTCTTTGCCTCTCGTGAGTTCTTTCACTTGCAATTTCCTTGCTTTAAGAAAGCTATTTCTTCTTGTGTATATGTAAATAAAGTAAGCATTTGCCCATTCTATCGATAGTCTTGAGTCTTGAAGACAAATATTTGATTTAGTGATTTATAACTTCCTTTTATTCCTGTAAATTTGATTTATAATCATTTACAACATTTTTCCATTGCAGGAAAACCTGTTCGATTGCTGCAAAGTTATGCATGTTAGACAGTTTTGTATGCCCTTAGCTTCAATCAGAATTATGCACTTTATGAGTATATTGTAAATGAATAAAAATACATATTTGATTCATGTTCCCTTGGTATGTTTCTGTGTAATACCCTTAAACTGGACACTTAATGAGACTCGTGTTAGTTT